CACTAGATGGGTCACCTGATCATAAAATGAGAGCAGGTTGGTCAGACAGGACCTATCCTTCCTAAAACCGTGAGAGGGACTCCAGTTCCCTAATCACCTTCTACCCATCCACTGGACCTGCTCCAGGACCTCCATGTCCCTCCATGAGAGGCCCAGAACTGGACACAGCACTCCAGATGTGGCCTCACCAGGACTGAGTAGGGAGGCAGGATCAACCTGCTGGCAATGCTTTTCCTGATGCAGCCCAGGATGCCACTGGCCTTCTTGGCCACCAGGGCATGCTGCTGACTTATGGACAGCTTGTTATTCACCAGGCTTCCCAGGTCCTTCTCCACAGAGCTTCTTCCCAGCCAGTTGGCCCCCAGGCCATGTTGGTGCATGGACCTGTTCTTTCTCAGTTACAGGTCCTGCATTTGCACTTGTTGAATTTCAGACAGTTCTCCTCTGCCCATCTCTGCAGCCTGTCAGGGTTCTTCTGAACCTTCAATAGCCCTCTGGTGTATTGGTCACTCCTCCCAGCTTTGTGAACTTGCTGAGGAGACACTCTGCCCTTTCATCAAAGATGTGGATGGATACATTAAACAATATTGGGACACCGCTAGCTACAGGCCTCCAACTAGACTTGTGTCACTGATCGCAACCCTCTGAGACCCACCATTCAGCTAGTTCTCAATCCAGCTCACCATCCATTTGTCCAGGCTGTGCTTCCTGAGCTTGCCTGTGAGGCTATCATGGGAGACCATATCCAAAAGCCTTGTGGAGGTCCTGGTAGACAATATCCACTGCTCTCCCCTCTTCTATCCATACAGTTGTTGCATTGCAATCAGGTTGGTCAAGCATGATTGTCCTTTGGTGAATCCATGCTGACTGCTTCTGATGAATTTTCTGTCTTCTGCATGCCTAGAGATGGCCTCCAGGATGAGTCATTTAATTACCTTTCGAAGGATTGAAGGCTGACTAGTCTGTAGTTCCCTGGGTTCTCCTTCTTGCCCTTTTTGATGATGGGGTGAGATTTGGTTTCTTCCAGTCCTTGGGCACCTCTCCTAATCTCTATGACCTTTTAAAAGTGATATTAAGTGGCCTCACTACGGTATCCGCCAGCTCCCTTAGCACTCGTGGGTGCATCCTATCAGGGCCTGTGCACTTGTGGATGTCAAGTTTGATACTGATAGTTTATTTTAACTGACTCTGGAGAAATCCTTTCCACGTTAGCATAATTATCTTAGTTAGCAGGTACTTAATTTTATTAATTCTTTACCTTAATTGTAAAAATATTTTACTCAGTTGTGATACAAAGGAAAAAAATTATTAGTTAGTTATACTTACTAATATTTGAACTCAGATATGAGGAGGAGGATTTTTCTAGTGTATTAAAAATAACACAAGTAGCTTTATTTTTTACTTCATTGTTGAAATTTAGACAAACAGAGGAATGTAAGCAAAGCAAAATGTGTAATTTTTTTTGTTTTATATGCATACATTACATATGGAAGAAGTAAGACAAATATCAAATTAATTTTATTCTGATCTTTTTTCTCCCATATAATTTTTAATGGGTGAATATTTGCTATATTCTTTCCTTTGCTTTTCTAAAAATAAAACTGAAACTTGAAATGGATATCTTTCCTTCTCCTTGTAGCTCCTTCCATTTTATGCACACAGACTACTTTTTTCTCTTCTGTATGTTGACCTCTGTGAGGTATTGACTGAGCAGTTGAACTGCTTGTCTCACCTATAAAGAAGTCTTTATGAACATGAGAGTTGAAAAACTAAGTAAGAACAGGCCAGAATATAATAGGTCATGCCGTGCCATGCTTTTACCAAGGTACTGTCACTGAAAGGGGCTGCAGCAAGAGCAGCTGCCAAAAATTCTTGCTTTTACACTGGGCTGCAAGCGTGCTCTGAAGAAAATGTTAATTTGTTTCCACAGCATCTACATCCTACTTCATAGTAACTTGCAAACTACTAGGAGTCTGCATAGCAGCTTGGAAATCTTGGGACTGGGCTGTAAAAGGTGTTCAGGTCAAGAACCATCTCCTTAATTTGTGTTTGTAGAGCAAGATACAAGTGCATAACAAAAAAGGAGACAAAAGAACACTTTTTTAAAAATGGAAATTCATAACTTTTTAATAATTCTGATAAGCTTTTCCCTGTTTAGTAGATGTGTTTAGATGGAAACAGCTGGAATTTAAAATTTCTTTTATTTGTTTAGAATGGTCAGCTGGAGTGCGTTCGATGGATGGTGAGCGAAACAGAAGCTATTGCAGAACTAAGTTGCTCAAAAGACCACCCAAGCCTTATTCATTATGCAGGTTGCTATGGCCAGGTATGACTTTCATCTGCTTTTTCAAGTAGATTATTTAGATGCTCATACAAGAATTTAAATTTAAAGCATGTGTATAATTTTGTGGCTTTTAGTTACGGGTGCTCTGAGTTAGTTCAAATATAGCAAAATCTTTCCCCACAATTTGTGTAATTTTTTTCAATGTTTTCCCTCTGAAGTTTTTTTGTTGTTTGTTTTTTTGTTTTATAAGCTTTGAGTAATGGCTAGGAGAAGATTAGCTAACATATTAGGCCAGCCAATAAATCCTAAGGACATCTAGGGACATTAGCTGTCGTGATCCATAAAGGACTCATAGGACACATCAGAAAATCAACCAATATTTTGGGATAGTTCACATTCTCTTTCCAGGAGAGACTAATCTCAAAAAAGTTTGCAAATTGTGGCAATTTAAGAATTCAGTATATTGGCAGCAAAGTGTGGTGAAACTTGAACGTTAGCTGCCTAGCTTTAGCTGCTTTTATTGAGAACTACATACAAAATTATGTTTTAAATAAAGCCTATAAATCTAATAATGAGAAAAAAAAGAAGTACAGCATTCTAGTTCTTTGCTAATGTCTGGAGAAACATATACTACTTAATTACACTACATGCTCTTCCACAAAGTCTGTTTTTAACTAAGTAGACCTTGCAATAACCCCTCTTCAAAGGACCTTCTCCAGGACTGACTGTGTGAGGAATAGTGATGGGTTATTCTTCTCTAATCTCTTTGGCAGGTGGACTTTATCCCATAGTCCTTTGACAGACATTAGAGATAAATCATAGAATCATAGAATGGTTTGGGTTGGAAGATCACATAGTTCCAATCCCCTGCCATGGGCATGGACACCGAAACCCATTGGTTTTGTGCTAATGCTTTTTACTCTTACTTGTTAAGAGAGAACAAGCAAAATAGAATCACTAAGAAAATAATTATTTCCTGTGCAAGTGTGGTTGTCTCATTCAATGCCATACAATTATTGTGGCATACTTCTGCTGTTAACTTACACAAATGTGA